CGTCGCCATGGGGACGGCGCGGCGCTATGGAGGCGGGCAGCGGCGGGGGGCTGCCGGTACCGGGAGACCCCCCGGGCGGGGAGGCGGCCCCTACGGTCCACCCCGCTCCTCCCGGCGGCTCCCCGGGCTCCGAGCCGCGGAAAAGGCGGAGGAAGCGCAGGCGAGTGCGGGGCGGGAGGCGGGCCCAGCAGGCCGCAGCCCCTCCTACCCGCCCCTACCGGCACAGGCTTCGCCGCTCCCGCCCCCTCCGGGCCGTTGTGCCCGTGTCCCGCCAGCCCCGGGGGAGTCTGTCTGTCCGCCCGTGTGTCTGTCTGCCCTTAGCCCGCTGGCCCGTCCCCCCTGCCCCCGTTAAACGCCCCCCTGCCCTCCTCGCCGTGACCGGGCCAGCTCCTGGCCCAGGGGCGATGCCGAGCCGGGCCTGCTCTGCCTCCGCCCACAGGGGCTTTCTGAATCGGGAAATAAACACTCTTGCCCCTAAATTGCCCCAATAATCCCAAGCATGACGCCTCCGAGGGCGGCCCCGGGTTCGGGACCCCTCTGCCATGTCCCTCACGGCCCCCTGTGAGCCCTACGGAGTGGGAGCTGTGTGCCCCCGTGTGCGGGAGCCCCCCTCGTCCTCCTCCCTCCGCCTGTGTGTCCCTCACGGCCTGGTGGCTCTGGGTCAGGCCCCCTGTGAGCCCTGCGGAGTGGGAGCTGTGTGCCCCCGTGTGCGGGAGCCCCCCTCGTCCTCCTCCCTCCGCCTGTGCCCGGGCCCCGGTTCCCGGCTGAGCAGCTCTTCTGTCCTCTCTTTCCATTCCAGCGTTCCCTCCATCAACCTCACCAGCTGCAAGTACGAGAGCGGTAAGTCCCGGGGGCTGCGGGGCATCCCTGCGGGTCAGCCCACCGTGACGAGCTCCTCGGGTGTCCACACAGCCAGGGAGGAGCACTGGTACCCCATTTACACTGCAGGGTCACTTCTGGCTTATGTATTTATGGGTTGCAAGCGGCTTTGACTTGGGCCCCTGTGAAAAGTATGGAGTTTGTCACAGTTAGAATCATAGAATGGTTTGGGTTGGGAGGGACCTCAAAGATCACCTAGTTCCAACCCCCCTGCCCTGGGCAGGGACACCTCCCCCTAGAGCAGGTTGCTCACAGCCCCATCCAGCCTGGCCTTGAACACTTCCAGGGATGGGGCAGCCACAACTTCCCTGGGCAACCTGTTCCAGTGCCTCACCAGCCTCACTGGTTAGAACCGAGGTACCCTCTGGTTTGAAGAGAAACAAAACGTGCAACAGCAGTGCAAGCCCTTGCCCCTCCCTTAGGTCTGCATTTGCCATACATCTGCTAAAATTGGTGAGAAGGGGCTACTTAGGGCCAGTTACAATGCCTGGGGAGATGACATGAGAGCTGTCAACTGTGTAGCATAAAGCTGGTGGTGGAATGGGCAGGGTCAGTACCCAGAACCTCTCCCTTTGCCATCCGTCTCTGGTGACGTGCTCCAGGGAGCTGGTCCCCTCTCCTGTCTTGCTCTTCTTTGCTGCCACAAACTGTATCTTAAAAGAACAGACTCCTTGCTTTTAATAGACGTTATTAGCCAATTTGTTAATGACTATTCTAGCAGTGCAACCACGTGTGTGCTGCTGAGGGTCACAGCCTGGTCAGCTGCACAAGGAATGCAGTTTTTATCCCAGGGCCGTGCTGGGGCAGTTTGGTGACGGGAGGTGGATGGGGACCCGCAGCAGGAGATGGTGTGGCAGCACAGGCACCACAGGAACCAGAGCTGTTTCGCAACGGTTCCTAGTGTGCACTGACCTTCCTGTGACTTCCCCTGTCCCGTGAGAGGCCAAATTCAGAACTGGCACAACACAAACCATCCCAGCAGCGACCTTCTGCTCCAGAGCTCCTGTGTTCTGCTGCCAAATAGCTTTTGATTTGGAAGACGAAACTAAATACCTTCAGAAGACTTGTATCTACCCATGTGGCGTCAGACCCACGGTGGATTCAAGCCTGCTGTAGTCCAGGAGGTGCTCTGGGACCCCAATGCAGGTAGACTTTGGGGGCTGGTAGCTCCCTGTAGCTGCAGCTAGAGGCTGGGGGCAGTTTCGTGGGGTAAAGCTTGTGTTTCTGACACCTCCTGGAAGGGTCCTGCCAATACCTTGCACCTCAGAGTGGATTTGCAGCCTGGAGAGATTTGTTCTATGCTCCATCCCAGGTTACTCTGGGGGTTGAGCAGTCACTGGTACATGTGTCCTCTGCCCCTTGTCACACGCTCCGGTGCAGTGCGGCGGGCGGCGCGGTGCTGCGGGCTGAAGGAAGTGGGAGAAAACGAGGAGTGGACGGTGTATTGGACAGACTACTCGGTCTCCCTGGAGCGCGTCATGAAAATGAAGCGGTTTCAGGTAAATACCCCCGTGTCCAGACTGCCTGGCAAGAAGAGCTCAGGAGAGGGGGTGAGAGGGGGCCGTGAGTGGGACAATGTGTTGCAGAACAAACAGAAGTGTCCAAATGAGCACCTGTGCCCCACGCTCTGCATCAGTTCCAGAGGGTGCAGGTTTACAAGCTTTTAGAATCATAGAATTGTCTGGGTTGGAAGGGACCTTTAAGATCATCTGTCCAACCATCAACCTAACTCTGATAAACACCATCACTAAAGCATATCTCTAAGCACTATGTCAACCCATCTTTTAAATACCTCCAGGGATGGTGCCTCCACCGCTTCCCTAAGCAGCCCATTCCAATGCTTAATAACCCCTTCAGTGTAAACATTTTTCCTAATATCCAATCTAAACCTCCCCTGGCACAACTTGAGGCCATTTCCTCTTGTCCCATTGCCTGTTCCTTGGGAGAAGAGACCAACCCCCACCTCTCTACACCCTCTGTTCAGGGAGTTGCAGAGAGTGATAAGGTCTCCCCTCTGCTTCTGCTCTGTCGCTGGGCGAGTGCAATCGGCAGCGCTTTGGCAGAGAGTAGTGTGAACTGGAAAGCTGCCAACCCCTTTAACGTAGCGTGAAATAAATGGTTCTTGATGACAAACGGCTCCCTTCCTGGCGCTGTGATATTCCAGGGAGGGGGAGCCTCGGGGTGGTGATGGAACGAGCAGATAAATCACGCGGGTGAAGTTCAGATAAAGCAGTTGTAGCGTAATCCTGTCCCTCAGCAGACGGTCAAGGCAACCGCAGGCCCCGCTTCCCGTTCTGCGTGCTGGTTTCTCAGCACCTGGGCTTTCCCCGAGGCTTTCCTCAGGTCTCGAGGAGGAGCCCTGCTCTTCCTGTGCTGATTCTGTTTCTCCTCTACACCTCTTTCAGAAAATCAACCATTTTCCAGGCATGATAGAGATCTGCCGTAAGGACTTACTGGCTCGCAACCTTAACCGCATGCTCAGGCTCTTTCCCAAGGAGTACAATATATTTCCCCGCACTTGGTGCCTGCCAGCTGAGTGAGTGACACGTGTTAATGCAGCCGAGAACAGGGCTACGGAATTGGGAAGTGGGGAGCCGGGGCTGGGATGGGTCCCCTCTCTGAGATCTCGTGTCTTGCTCTGGGCCTTCGTGATCTTCCCTGGAACTGAATGGGGCGGAGGACACGTGTTTCTGGTTTCACACATCTGTAATTCCTGTTAGATGGAATTAGCCCATAGGATGGTGTCCTCTGCGATGTGTGTCTCGCTGCCGGGCAGGCTGCGTGCTGGGGGGCTAAACCTGGGGAGATCCGGAAAGCCCAGGGGCAGTGGCCGAGCAGGAAGTGTGGGTCTGTAAACCATCACCAAATTACTAGAGCTTTGGGACAGAATGCCTGCCTTTTCTGATCATATACAGACAAGCCATGATAGAAACCTGGCTCAAAGAGACCAAAGAGCACTTTGGGTGGTCGTAGGGATGACAAGATACCCATTCTTAGACGGATTTTATTCTTACTATTTCCTGAAAACCTCAAAGTAGGGCTCCCATCACCTACTCTGTAGCTGCACCACCCTCACGGTTAGAATGATTTTCTTAATATCTGCCCTTTGCTGAAATATCAGCACTTCAGTATTCTCTCATTTGCACTGGCCGTGGAGAACGGTGGTTTGCTGTCTTTTGCTAATAGTGTATCATGTGCAGGAAGGCTATTGCCATGTGTCCACTCGGTTTTCCCATTTCTGGAGAAGACAGACGTGGTTCTCTCATCTTTCTTTCCAGGCTGAATTTCCTGGCCTCTGTCTGCTCTTTGCACTGTTTTCTTGGATTTGTCCTGTTTGCTTCTCTCTTTCCCTAAATGTGGTGCCCACCAGAGTGACAGTGCTTCTCCATCTACAGCAAAATAATAAATTGGCACATGGGCTAGACTCTTCACAGCCCCACGCTCCCACTGGAGTCGCTCCTGAAGATCAGCCATGTAACGAGGCAGGGAGCTGGGCTCGTCAGCCCCTGTGCAGAACACTCGGCCGTGGCCTCCTGCCCGCTCGCTGGTGGGCTGGCCTGAAAGGGGATGTAGAGACTTGTGACTCCCTCCTCCTCTGTCACCAGGGCTTGTTTGTTTTCTCCTGCTCTCTCTGTGGCAGCAGAGCCAAAATCTCACAGGCTCCTGTATGCACAGAGGTAACCCCTTCCTATGAACCTCCTGGTGGAGGTGGAGATGTGTGCAAGTAGAAAGTGGAACCAGGCACAAGGACTAATGTGTAACTGATGTAGGTGAGGAGTAGCTGTACTATTCCTCTGCTGCAGGAGTTTGGGCTGTGCTGGCCCCCAGCACCACAGCTGCTGCTCCTCGCTGTTATGAGAGAATTCAGGAGCTGGTTTTTTGCAGGTTTTAACAGTCACCCCTTCCTTGCACAGCTATGGAAACTTCCAGGCCTACAGGCGCACAAGGAAAAACAGAACATTCATCTGCAAGCCCGACAGTGGCTGCCAGGGGAGAGGCATCTTCATCACACGCAATCCAGAGGAGATCAAACACGGGGAGCATATGATCTGTCAGCAGTACATCGCTAAGGTAAGGGGGACAGTCTTGAAATGCAGGTAGAGGACTGCAGCCTCCCAGCTCTTCCAGCATCCTCCTTGTGTCCTGTGCCCCACATCTTCTTGCAGGGGCATGGGGGTGGCATGGCAAAAGCCTGTCTTTCTCCTCACTGCTGAGGAGGAATACAAGCCGTGCAGGTGGAGCAGCCAACCGGAGGAGCAGGCTGCATGCCTAGCCACATTTCTTTATCTCATGCTTGCTCCTGCCTTTTTTTTTTTCCTCACAGCCTTTCCTGATTGATGGCTTTAAATTCGACATGCGTATCTATGTGCTTGTCACGTCTTGTGACCCGCTGAGGATTTTTGTCTACAAGGAGGGTCTGGCCCGGTTTGCCACCATGAGGTACATCGATCCCAGCAGCAGAAACCTGGTAAAAAAAGGGAAGTTTCCAAAACCACTCGTATAGGACCTGTAGGTTTTAATTCCCAATTTGTCGTAGCAGCATTCCAGACCCTGAAAAGGGGACCCAGCTCTCTCCTTTCTTGTTCTCCCCTCCCTCTGTACCTCCTCTTCACAGGAGGCATTTCAGAAGTGCCTGCAGTAGATCTACTCCCAGGCCCCCACGTTTGGGCTGTTTACTGGCGTTATCACAGAATCATGGAGTTGTGTTGCTTGGAAGGAACCTTGGAAGGTCTTGAGTCCAACCTTCTGCTCAAAACTGGGTCAACAATCAATTCAGATCTGTTTTCTTGGGGTTTCACCCCGTCAGGTGTTGGCAACCTGCAAGGACAGAGACCACAAGGTATTTCTGGGCAACACTCCTACTGCTTCTTGCCTTTATGAGCATTCTCAAGTCCGTATAGTTCCTTGTCTGCCTGCGCTTCAGGTGGAAAAGAGGGATCTGGGGATTATCTGGTGGTACTGGGAGAGGCAGGGAGGGTAACTGGGAAGGCAAGGGGCAGGGTCTGGCCGTGCCCATCTCCAAGCAGAGATCTGTAACCTGTAAGATTCCAGCAGAAGGTGGACAGTGTTGTTGGATGGCTGTGCTACCATCATGGGCTGCTACCCTGAGAGATACCCCATGTTTCAGCTGTCTGCCTGCTTCTCCCAGAGCTGTATGTGCCCTCCTTCCCACCCATACGTGCGTGTCTTGGAGAGGTCTCCTGCTCTGGGTGAATAAAAGAGGAGGAAGAATCTGCAGAAATTTGCTGCAGCTTCTGTCCTGAGGACCCCCTTATTTAGTGGTGAGGCCGCAGCTGGAATGGCATTTGTGGAGCTGACCCCTCTGCTGTCCCCCAGAGAGGAGAGAAGTGTGGAGGGGGCAGAGCTCTGGTAGCTCTAATGTCTGGCCGGAGAGGGAACAGCAGCACGGCCTTGCTGCAGGTCACCACACAGCAGAGAGAAGCAGGAGAAGCTGGTGGCTGGATTAGTGCTTATCTGGTGGTACTGGGAGAGGCAGGGAGGGTAGCTCTGGTAGCTCTAATGTCTGGCCGGAGAGGGAACAGCAGCACGGCCTTGCTGCAGGTCACCACACAGCAAAGAGAGAGGAGCAGGAGAAGCTGGTGGCTGGATTAGTGCTAATGGGGCTGTTTCTGTTTACACTCTGTGGTTAGAAGTAAATGAAAGTCTCTTGTGGAGAGGGAACAGCAGCACGGCCTTGCTGCAGGTCACCACACAGCAAAGAGAGAGGAGCAGGAGAAGCTGGTGGCTGGATTACACCTAATGGGGCTGTTTCTGTTTACATTCTGTGGTTAGAAGTAAATGAAAGTCTCTTGTGGTTCCTCTCTCAGGGTGATATCTGCATGCATTTGACCAATTATGCTATCAACAAACGTAATGAGAACTTCGTCCAGGACGACACGATGGGCAGTAAGAGGTATTGTCCTGTCCAGGTACCACAACGCCCTGTGCACAGCCTGCAGGAAAGCTGCATTTGGGACACTTTACTTCCATCTTTCTTGGGGCAAATGTGGTATCACAGGTCAGCTCTTACCATCTCCTGTCCTCCACGCAGGAAACTGTCCACCGTGAATGCCTGGATGATGAATAACAGCTACAACACCACAAAACTCTGGGAAGATATTGAAGATATTATTATAAAGACTCTTATTTCAGCTCACCCTGTTGTGAAGCACAATTACCAAAGCTGCTTCCCGAACCACACCACTGTCTGTGCCTGCTTTGAGATACTGGGCTTCGATATTTTGCTGGACAGAAGGTTGAAGCCGTGGCTGCTAGAGGTGAGGAGGGAGTCTCTGCTGTGCTGAAGCACCTCTGGAAGCAGCAGATACTGGAGAGCTGGCTTGTCTGGGGGAGGCTCCAGAACAAGGGGCAGAGGGATGAACAGAACATGTTTGATTAAAAAGGGCCACCTCATCTGCAAAATTAATCATGCTATGAAGACAAGTAGCCAAACAACCTGCTGTAGGCAAGGCAAGCACAGGACCCAAGAGCCCATTCCCTCTACACCCTCTCTAACAGCAGAGAGTTTCCTGAAGGACTCCTTGCCCTCTAACAGCCTCCTGAGTCTGTGACCGCTGCCCCACGGCTGTCAAGCTGCGAGGTGTGGGTCTGAGTGACCTGCAGTGCTTGTGGGACAGAACCTGACGCTGCCCGCAGCACCCTGCTTCCTGTGGCTGTTAGAGGGGGTGACACCCGTGGGCGGTGGGCGGTGGGGCAGACTGGGGCCGCGGGGAGATGCCGGGTGGGATCAGCTGCTTGTTTTGGCAGGTGAACCACTCTCCCAGCTTCACCACAGACTCTCGCCTGGACCGCGAGGTGAAGGACGCTCTGCTCTGTGACACCATCAAGTTGATAAATGTGGATGCCTGTGACAAAAGGAGGGTGCTGGAGGAGGACAAACAGCGGGCAAAGGAACGGCTCCTGCAGGGCCACCAGGCTTTCCGTGCATCCAGGTACTGCTCCCCCCCATAGTGCTGCAGTCCCTAGGGAGAAAAGACAGGGCATGGTGGAGCAGGGTTAAGCCAAGGCTCTCTCTCCAAATTTAAGCTCCTAAAGGCCGTGGCACCACATGGCCTCTGAGGAGAGATCACCCAAGCCATCTGCATCCTGCAGGTAAAGCCAGGGCTTGTCTCTTGGCACTGGAGATCTGAGGTGCCTGTTCCTCTGGGCCCTGTATGGAGTCATCCCTATCGGGCTGTGCCTCCTTGTCACGTCAGGGTTCCTTTCCCAGGGTTGAGTTTTCCCCCCATTCTCTGTCTACATGTCCTTTCATGATTAATTAATCCACATGGCCTCTTGAGGCCGTGATGAGCCAGCTGCCCCGGTTTTCCTGCCACACAGGGCGAGGCAGGAGCTCCCTCCAGCTCCCGTTTCAATTAGAGACCTGAGATGACTCCGGGCTGGAGACGCAGAGCGTGTCAGCCCTGAGCTCTGCATGTCCCTCAGCTCGGCTGCTCCTGGCTCCCCCGAGCGAGGAGAGCTCCCGGCAGCAGGTAGGGTGGCAGATACTCCTGGAACTGGCACATCTTAACTGAACTTCTCTGGTAGCTGGGTTAGTTGGGTGAGAAGGACAAGGTGTGAGCTTGGGCAGTAGGGAAGAGATCTGTGAACACTTCACCAGCATTCTACAGGTAGAGGGTGGAGAAGCGTGGGTTGCTTTGGTCCCCTGCAGTGCAGGCACATTAAACAGGTTCCCGAAGAGGGAAAGACAGGGGGAAGTGCCAGTGAGGCTCTTGTCCCTCAGCCAGGACAGCCCCTGGAGCCTCCTACGGCAGCTCCCCGTGCTTTCCCCCCGTTTGCAGGCGTGAGGGGTTGGAGAGCAGCCAGGCTGCCTGGCTGTCCCAGGCGGAGAAGTACGAGGACTCCCACCTGGGCGGTTACCGGCGCATCTATCCCGCCTGTGGAACAGAGAAGTATGAGCCATTTTTCAAGCAGAGCTGCTCCCTCTTCCACGAAACGGTGTCATCCAAGGCACGGGAGGAGTGTGCCAGGTAGGCTGCTCCCGCGGGAAGCCTGCTCCTCGCAGGGGTGGCACAGAGTCCCCTCGCTTCTCATCCCTTCCTGGGGAGGACTCTGCTGCTTAAGGGATGTATGGGAGCCGGTGGGAGCTGCAGAGGGGGGCGGCTGCATGTGCTACGGCACCACAGCAAAGCAAATTCCTGTTGCAGGTAGCTTTGAAAATGCAATATTCCACTGACTTTTGGACTCCGGAGGCACCATGGTGTAGGTGCCCTCCACCCTCCTGGCAGGCACAGCCTAATTCAAGGGCATTTCTTACAGCAGTGAGAGTGTGTTTTAAAAGTACTCCTGGCCCATCTTGGCACACTTTTATTATGGTCTCTTCATTACAGAACTTCTGACTGCAATAAAATGACCTGGAATTGAAGGCTTTGTAATAGCCTTTTGTTGTTATGCCTCTTACTGAACCACTGACCAAGACTGTTGTTCCATGGCAGGCATCAACTGGAGGAAATTCGCCTGAAAAAAGAAAAGGTGAAAGCTATTACCAGGAAGCAGAAAAAGGAGAGGAAAGAAGACCTGCCTGGAGAGCCAGCTGGGGAGAAATCCCAGATCCATAATAAAGGCACAGCTCCTACAACCCGCCTCACCTATAGAAGCACCAGGATGTGGGACAGAAAGGTACCTCCCTCCCGTCTGTGGTTGTCCATGGGGCCCTCAGAGGCCATAACGTGGCTCTGGAACAGTGCTGGGCTGTGGGTGTCCCCCAGGGAACACAACTACGAGGCTGGACTCCCCTTTGTGCAGCCCAGGGAGCTGACAGCTTGTGCTGGGAGGTTCTCGCAAGGACCAGTGTTGTCCCTTCCCTGATGTGGCTTCCACTGGGATCTTCATCCCACTCCACCCCCAAGTCTGTAATTCTCCTCAGGGCACGGAGGCGTCTCTCTGGTGTGTTACCAGGGCCGTGACTGTGCTGTAACTCAGGTCTGTCTTTCCTAAGCTGCAGCGCGTGCAGTACGACTCTATGCGACCCCAGGATATCGTGGAAAGCGAGGAGAAGAAAAGAGTAGATGCTCTTCTGCAGCGTGGGAACCTTATCCGGGGCCTGGGCATCGTGGACCAGCTCTCCCAGCTGCTCCCCACCGCCAACAGACCAGCCGACCCCCAGGGACCCTACGCTGCTCTCTCCAGCAGCCAGGTAACTGAAGAGCACTGGGATCTGCCCGGCCAGGCCCACCCAGCGTACAGCCGGTCGTGGGAGGATCATCCCTGGTGTGGCTCAGTTAAATGAGATCCAACGCAGTGCCTGGGGCCGTGGGTTTTCATGCAGCTACTGATGTTGGCCCTTTTGGGGTGTGCCCACAGGCACAGAGCCCCCCGGCACCCTTCCCCAAAGACCCCTCTCCCCACTGCTCCAAAGAGCAGACCATGGTGTTGCCCTTTGTGCGCTGCTGTCCCAGCACACGGCTCGGGGTGAGGGGCTGCTCCGTGGGAGTCTCCAGGCTGCAGGAACGAACTCCCAGGCAGGCTGGGAACACTGCTGTGCTCCGTGGTAAAGAAGCACACAGCAAAGGGGACTGAGGGGAAGTGTAGGGATGTCCAGGGGGAAAAAAAGAAAAGCCTTTAAGTGAATTCTGCACTGCAAACAGTGCCTCTCTGTAGACATCCTGCCTTCTACATCAGACCGTTTCCCACTCGGGGGAGGTGGTGAGTTAGTGCATCTGCCTAAAACCCTGCAGGGCTCAGCCCTCAGTCTGGGGCTCCCTCTTCAGAGTCACCCTCACTCTGCAAGAGGATGGTGCTGCTGCTGCCGCCACCTCCCAGGCTGTCCCAGGGTCACAGCTGAAGGAAGCTGGGCTTCACCGGGGATTGCACCGGGGAACCAGGGTTTGGACCTAAAGGAGATCTGTGTGGTTGTCTCAAACTGAGTCTTGGCTGCCACGCTGATTCCCAAACTAGGTCTAAATCCAGAGGAGGTGGAAGACCACAGTCCGTTGCCTGTGGGCTCCGTTAGGCTACAAGAGCTGTTCTGGAGCACAGTTGGTGGCTGTCACCTACTGTGTTGGGAAAGGGCTAGTTCTGGACCTGCAGTTAATGAAAAACCTTGCAAGGTCCATGGCCTCTTCCAATGGCACCGTCTGTTTCTGAAAGGCCTCCTACTCCTGGCCGTTTACTTTAACAACAGAAGCCGAAGAAGGGATTTGATGTGTAAGAACTGATGTTAGCTGCCTTTTCCTCTACCACACACAGCAGAACAGAACCTGAAACCCAAACTCTGCCTAAAGTCTGGATAATTTTTTTCAGCAGAAAAGGGTTATCTGGGGGTGGGTCAGATCCTTCATCGCTGAGTCTTCCCAGCTCACTCTGGCATTTTTTTTCCACAAGCCCCACTCCAGCTCAGCCCAGTGTTAGGGGCAGAGGATGGGAGTCTCAGCGCTGGTGCAGGCAGCTGCCATGACCCTGCAGAGGATTTGAATGTGGGATGGTGAGCATGGCAGGCCTGGGGAGAAAGGGCAGGGCGACGCTTTAGTGAGTGCCTGTAGAGAACTAGACTTTTCCTTCCCATCTCTTGCCCATCTCCGGAGCTAAGCTGCAGCCACTTTCTTTCCTTCCAGCCACAGTTCCTCTGGGATGTGCTCAAGGCCCAGGACACCCACCGCTTAATGACGCTCATCCCCCTCTCTCCGGGAGGTGCAGCCCAGCCTTCGGGACAGCCCTTCGCGCACCAGCCCAGAGCTGCTGCCGAGCTGCTGGCCAGCCTGGGCTCAGACGCCACCGCCACGGGCAACCTCCTGGTTCGAGGCCAGAGCATCCTTCGCCTTAAGCAGCCCATGGTGCAGCAGGGCCCCTGGGCGCAGGACACGGGCTGGCTGCGTGGCCAGGCAGTGGGGACGGTGGTGGTTCCCCAGCCCCACACCCAACCCAAGGGGCTGCAAGTGAGAGGCCAGCGGCTCCCCGGCACCGGGAACAAGGCTGAAGGCTGTGAGTACACGTTCCCTTCCTTTGGCTCTGAGAGTCTGCATCGTGGAGGCTCAAGTCGTTGAGCTGGAGCTGTGGATGTTCCTGGGCCTACTGGGGTGCCATGAGGGGGGAGCCTGGATGGAGCTCTGAGTCCCTGGGGTGCTCAGACCTTGCAGAAGGGACTCGGGGAACCAGTGACTGCTGGAAGTCGCTGCCTGAGGCCGATAGTATCCCATTGGCCGGGGCAAGGAATAAAGTGGGTGATTTCCCAGGACCAAGGGCTGATGGGCTGGGCAGAGCGAGCATGAGAATTCCCAGAGTACTTGAGAGTAGGGTCAGAAGAGCAGAAGGAGGGAGAGCCAAAGGGGAGCGTTAGCCGTGGGAATTGCTGAGGAGACATTTAGTGATGCAGCGTGTCCTCCAGCCCCTTCTCAGGCCTTGCTCCTGCCGGGATGCTCCTGGTTTCCCACAGCCGCCCCTGCCCGTCGAGCTGCTCCACGGTCCCACCACCCACACCTTCCCCCTGCCCCACATCAGCTCCAGCCATCTGCAGCCTTAGGAGCCGGGGGGAGCTGGGGCAGAAGGGGGGTCTGTCAGGGCCTCGCAGGGCTGAGCACCTTCACGGAGAGCAGCAGTGACCCACAAAGCCGTGGGTGCCTGCCTACCTGCCATGTCTGCCTGTGCTCTTCCAGGGGAAGCTGGCAGGCTGTCCTGCACGGGCAGCAGTCACCCGGTGTCCCCCGCCAGCGTGGGGAGCAGCACAGGCGATGGCATCTTCATCCCTGTCACCATCCAGGCGCTCCCCGCGGCCCCCGCACAGCACACGCGTGTCCCGCACCCCAGCACAGGTAAGGGGGCAGGGGACACCCGCGCTCGGCCTTCCCGCGGGGGGTGCTCACAACACCCGCGGCTGCTGGGCGGGGAGGGTCGCCCCCGCCGCGCCCGGGGGTCTGCACCCCCTGACCGGAGTCCGGGCGCCCGCACGATCCCGCCCCGGGCAGCTTCGCCTCCGCCGGCGCCCGCACCCCCCGGTGGGAACCGAGACCCCGGAGGCTGCGCCTTTCCCGCCCCGCCGCGGTCCCTCCCGGCCACCGGGGCCGA